TATGCAGTCATAAGATTCTAATTATGACATCCAAAATCCACCTCATGTTTATTCTATAAGCTAATCTCAGAGACATTGGACAAGAAAGTGATTTATAATAGAGCAGTTAGATAAAGAAGCCCAACAATATCACTGTTCTTTTTATGATAATGGTAAGCATGATAATAACTATAACACTTACTGGTATATGGTATTATTACCCACTAAGGACTCTTCTAACTGTCTGTCTATCTGTCTATCTATCTTAATCCTTATAGTAACTTTTATTACCCTCATTTTGCAGATGAGAAAACTGAGGAATGGAGCATTTAAACTAACTAGCCATAGATTATTCAGCCAGAAAGTGATAGAGCTGGGAGTCCCTGCTTATAAGCAGCATGCTAGACTGCAATTTAATGGTGTCTCAACTAGTGGTTTAAAGGGTTAAAAATGTAATGGCAAGACAGATGTAAAACACAATGATACGACTATCACATTCTACTGTGACAACTCTTGCAAACAAAAAAGCAGGCAAATGCTTTTTCCATTCTGTTGGGAAAAATAGAATTTATTCTTGAAGTGTTTATGTTTTGACAGGATAGAATGGTCACTTTTCTCTACTAACTATTAGCCAGGTCTTCCTTGCCACTCCGTTTTGAAAAATTAATTTGATTTATATATTCCTTCTCATTTTGTAATCATTATAATGGGAAGATAAATTGCAGTTTACTATCTTGCCAGCTGAGACGCGGGGAAGAGTATTAGGAATGTAATGAGAAATGCTTAATTAAGAGAAAATGTTTCAAGCATTTCAATTATGCAGAGCTACCTAGTCTAAATATACTAATTGCCACAATCTCTCCCAATCACTAGAGCTGGTTCCCTAAAAGCAATTTACTAAGCAATGCACTTTAGCTAAGTTGTAGGAAATTGCAGTTCCTTCAAATTGTTAGATTTTTTTGGTTGTAACAGACTGCCTTTCCAGACTCTCATAGCCATACTAGTGCCTTTTTCATAGAAACTCATCCAATAGCCAAAACCGGTTTGGCTCAGTGGTAGAGCATCAGTCTGCGGACTGAAAGATCCCAGGTTCGATTCCGGTCAAGGGCATGTACTTTGGTTGCGGGCACATCCCCAGTGGGGGGTGTGCAAGAGGCAGCTGGTTGATGTTTTTCTCTTATCAACATTTCTAGCTCTCTATCCCTCTCTCCTCTCTGTAAAAAAAAAAAAAAAATCAATAAAATATATTAAAAAAAAAAAAAAAAAACTCATTCAATAAATGTTGAGTTGCTTTGCTTGTGTTAATGCAGATAACCCATTGAACCAAAGACCAAGCTACAATAAAATAAATCTAAGATGCGGACTTTAGAGCATACAGAATAGAAAAAAAGAGAAACAGTTCATTTTACTGCACTTTGAACTTTAGGAGCTTTAGGTTGGCATAGAGAATGTCTTAGGGGACAGTCCCTACTGGTGACTTGTAATATGGAAGCTCAGCTCTACCAGACACTGTAACTGCCTAGAACTAGCAGGAAAGCTACTGCCCAGAGCTCTCACTGAAATCTCGGGATCCAAATGGAAGGAATACACATTTATTCTTCTAAACAGGAGAGAATGTCTATCCCGGAGTCGGGAAATTACTGCCTGTCCAGATTAAAGCGGGGGGTGTGTGTGGGAGGATAGCTTTAGAAAATGGATAGTCACTGTATTTGGAGTCAATGCAGACAGGTCTGGTGTAGAGTGTTGAATTTCCTTTGAACCAGAGGGTTTTCCAACATACCCTGCTCCTGTGACTATCTTTTGTGCTTCACAAATTGTAATTGAGGCCAGGGAGCACAGTACTAGCACAGAGCAAGTTCACAGTGGATTCTTGTTACCTGGAGAGAGAACATGCGGAAGTGCTTGCAAAAAACATCATGCAAATGGAAGACACTTAGTCAGTGCTCAATAAATGATTGTGGTTTTTTTAAATTTTTATTTATTTATTTATTTATTTTTTACCCGTATGCACTTATTCTTATGTAAAGTCGTCACACTTTTCTTTATTCCTCTCATCTACCAAGAAGGGCAGGACTCCATATCTGAGATCCTTGTTCCAGTATTTATCAGCCTTAACCAAACTTGGAAGCTTATGTCAGTGACTGGTTTCATGGGTTATTAGAACAACATTGGAGACAGGGTGGGGACAGAGGGCTTAGTGGGTCAGACAGCATGCTTGAAAGCAGCTGTTCCCAGTGGCACTGCCAGGAGGGGCAATAGGAGCTATTTTCATCAGGGTTGTCTGGGATGATGCCATCTTCGAAGAGTTCAGGGAAACTATCAACTACTCAGGTCTGCACAGTCACTCTCCCCCCCTCTCCCCCCCTAGATTTGAAAACACAGTTTAGGCTGGATAGGAGAAGTGAGATGAAGAGAGACAAAACACACTGGGAATGAGGAACAAGATAGTCTTCCCTACATACAGTTTTTAGATGTTCAGCCTGTGCTAGGGTGTGGCAAAAGGGGACAAATGCCAGGAATCCCAGCTCGGGGAAGCCCATGGCAGCTGCAGAGGAGGTAGTTAGCAGCTAGTGTCATTGGGAAGGGCTTAAAGCTTGCCACTCTTAAGCCTCAGCTGCTACTTGTGATTCTGTTATTGCTGTTTTTTTTTGTTTGTTTGTTTGTTTTTTTTGTGTGTGTGTGTGCTTGTTTATTTGTTTGAATCCTGCTGCAAATATATTAAAGAAAGGATAATTTGATTCTATGTTAAAAAAGGACTTAGCATGTCCTTCCACAATATTAGGACCTGCAGATTTTGGTTCTATTATTTGCCCAGAGATTCCAAGCCATGGCTCAACACCAATCGAGGTCTTGGCCTTATTTAGTTCATCCAGCTCTGTGGGCCTCTCCGTTGGGTGGCAAAACTACCATGTATTGCAGCTACAGAGAACTGAATCGTGTGTTTTGTGGCAGATCAGGCAGGATTCAGAAGGACCAGTTTTAGCCCAGAATGCTCACTAGCTACTCTGATCTTGAGTGAAGGTGAGATGAACAAATTAACATTCTGATGTGTATTCTTCCATTAAGAAAGTCTCATTTCATGCTGTCCTAGTTTCTTCAGGCTTAGGTTAGTTGCTGCATTTTTATTATCTGTGAAGTTTGGCCATTTTCTAACAAGTTGTAAAATTCTGAAAGAATACACTATGAGTGGCATCTTGGCAGAAAAAGCAAGAAGGATTTGGAAGAAGGAAGTACAGAGATATATACGCAATTATGGACTGGTCTAAGAACAACCAACATATAAAAGGACAAATTAATATATTTATAAAGCAAATATATTAAAAAAGGATCATTGTTTTTCCATGTTAAAAAATTTAGTAAGTATTTCTATTGAAGATCCTGGGTTAATTTGCTATTTAAAATGCAATTCTCTCCCAGTCTTTGTGGCTGAGTGGATTGAGTGTCCATCCCTGGACCAAGAGGCTCCTGGTAGTCCCTAATTTGATTCTTGGTCTTCAATGGATATATTTTAATAATGGATTAGACATAGCTGAAAAGAGAATTAGTGGATCAGAAGATAGAGCAGAAAAATATCTAGGTTGAAACATTGCTGGGGTGGGCTTAATCCCCAGTAGGCTGTGTGTGTACAGCCCATTGATGTTTCTATCTCTCTCTTCCTCTCTCTTTACCTAAAACTCAATAAAAACATATTTTACAAAAGTATTTTTATTTATAAATTTTGCACACTATTTTCAGGCACATATATTGAGTCCAGAATAGCATGATTTTTTTGAATTGTAAAAATTCTGTTTTGCTTCCCAATTCCTTTCCTCTTCCATAGGAGGAAGAAGAATAGTGTAAACTTAGGTCCTGTCTTCATTGAATGTATTTTTTTAAAATTATACTTACCTTTACTCTTTAACTTTTCCATTATCAAAAGTGACTTTCACGGAATATATTCCCCGGGGGGGGGGGGGGGAAGCAAGGATTTATTCCCTGTGGTGATATATGGCTATTTTACACTTAGGTATAAAGTGCCCCTTGTATCATCTTTAGTTAAGCAATAATAAGGTTGATGAAATATAACTTTACCAGTCTGGGTGGTTCAGTTGGTAGAGCATCATTCCAATATGCCAAGGTTGTGGTTTTGATTCCCAGTAAGGGCACATATAAGAATCAACCAATGAATGAATGGCCAGGTGGAACAACAAACTGATGTTTTTCTCTCTCTCTAAAAAAATCATCAAAATAAGATAAAATAGAATTTTACTTAATGTACTACTTTCTTCTTTTTTAAAATAACAGTTGATTTGAGCCTAACTGACATATTGCAGGGAGGAATATCTCAAATGCTCCTCTATTTTCTTCTTGAGAACCAATGTAACACAGTTTAGATCTGAAGTGTTAAGGCAATAATCTAATGCATACCCATGACTCCCATTTCCAAGGGCAAGTGACTCAGGCTCAAATTGTGAGGAATGCTTTTTGTATTACTTGGGTTTTGATGTCTTTCCAAGGAGCACCTCCACTCAGATATCATCCCAGCCAAAGCTGGAAAAAGTTATCTCTTTGTTGAAGCAAAGCTGTTTTAGGGATAATTAAGATGCAGACTTTCTGGGAATGTTGGCCGATGTTCTTTACTTACATAGTGCAACTAAGAAAGGTCTTTCAGGTCATGTGTTTTATTTTATCGACTTCCACTCTCCCTTCTGCAAATGTTGAAAATGGGAGCTACTTTTGATTTTCAAGGAGGCATGTTTTTCTCCACTGTTAATAAGAATTATATTTGCCCAGCCAGCGAGGCTCAGTGGTTGAGTGTTGGCCTGTGGGCCAGGAGGTCGAGGTTCAATTCCTGATCAGGGCACATTCCCTAGTTGCAGGCTTGAGCCCTGTGTGGGGGGGGGGGGTTGGGGGGGGGGGGGGCGCATGCAGGAGGCAATCAATCAATGATTCTATCTCCCCATTGATGTTTCTCTCTCTCCCTTCCTCTCTGAAATTATATATATATATATATATATATATATATATATATATATATATATATTTATAAACAAATAATTAAACTTATATCTTAGTGCACCTTCATGAGTTTAGCTTTCTATTCTTCAAATGGGTAACGTGTACAAATGCATCAGATCATTTGTACTCAAGTACTGACAAAGAACTGTGATGTAAAAAGTGTGATTTTTCTGATGTCTGTGTTGAGTACAAAAGAGAGAAGCTCCAGTTAAACTCATTGAGAAGCGTCTGTGAAATCCAAGAAGCCGGGCTTGGAGCCAACACTTCTGTCTACATGTTTGCTGTTTGCTGACTTTGCATTAATGTGGGCTTTAAGCCAAGAAGAGCAGTCAGATCACTCAAGACTTTCTTATAATTTACAATCACATCTTTCCAGGGAAAGGTGTAGGGTTTAGGGCCAGGGATTACTTAGAAACCAGCCTTCCAATGCACCAGGACAGAACGATTTGATGTTTTATCATGGGACAAAACGATTTGATGAATTACATGCTTAATTAATAGGAGGGAATCTTTTTGATTCTCACCCCTTTAGCTTCACCTTGGGTGGTTGTTTTGCTGTTAGATAATTTCATATTCGAAAGGGAACTGGAGGAAGAAGAAGTTGGTTTGGCTACAAGTCAGCAGTTCTGGAGAATGTTTACTCAGGGAGGAGCTTGGAAACTGTGAGAATTTGGGGATTATCAGAACATTTTCAGTTCTTTCATGTTCCCACCCTACCAATGCTGACCTTCTAGCCTCTGCCAGAGAAAACTCAAGCCATTCCTCAACCCGTATGTGTGGTGGTGGGGAAGGCCACCATGAGCACAGCAGGCATACTTACTTAAGAATCTAATCTACATTTGGGGGAATTATTGCAGTTCTTATTGGTTGCTTATGTGAACATAAATTTTATTATGAAATTTAGCCAAGCAGTCCTTAGAAGTACACATAATAAATATGACAGTTTTTTTTTAATTTTTTTTAACTTTGTAGTAAAAAATTCTATTTTTGATAGGGCGTTGGGACAGTTTTAAGTTACTTTGTCTGGGGAGTCTTGGGAAAGAACCTTCCAGATTTTTTGTACACTATCTTTAAAGGAAAACACTTATTGAAACCTCTATGGTAGACTATTTGTTCAAAGGTTAGATTTGAGAAATTTAGTTAGTCTCTTAAAACTGCATTTATTAGAATTCTTCAGTATTGCGCCAGGAGGCCTTGAGAACCCTATCTTATCTATGTGACCTGAAGTGCCTCCCCTGGCAGAAGGATTGTTAAACTGAAGCATGTGGTTCTCCCAAGGCGAATGTTTTCTTGTAAACATTTTAAAAAGATAGCACCTCTTTTCTAGTTGTGTCTGTTCAAGTGTTCAAAATGGGAAGAATACTTCCCATGCCAGTGGAGCTCAACTGGGCTCAGCCCTGAGCCCCCTGTCTGTTTGATAATCCTCCTGGGGGAGGGCCAAGGGGACTGCTGGCCCGTCTCCCCTCTAGACTGTTAGGAATGGGAGGTATAAGCAAAAGGGGACACCTTCTAAAAGGGAGGTCCGAATATGATTGCCGAACTTATTCTAGTAACTTAAAAGAGTGGGTTCTCCTCCCGCTTGGAACCTTCATCCTCTTTGTACAGACTTCCATCAAGGTCTCTGCAACCCTTTCCCTTTTTGTCCCCCGTGGGTGTGAGGGGATGGGGAAGGTAAATACCAGGTTTTATGGCATGGCTGAAAGAACACCTTTAATGGGGACCTATACATGTAAAGGGTCCCAAGAAGGGCCCAGGTCCTTTATCTTCTCATTATTCTACAAAGAGTTGGGCAGGAGCCCAAAGCTGCCAGATCCTGTCCCCCTGCAAATCGACCTTCTCTGGGGCAGTATGAGGATGGCCTCATCTCTGGATCACAAATAACGTGAACTTGGGCACTGAAAAGACTGAGCTGGGAAATACCAGGTGTGCAGCACCTGGAGACTTTGGGGCCTTGTTTGAAGTCACAGCTGCTCCTGCTTGGGGAAGGGAGCCACTAGTCCCAGGGGAAGCTGGGTTTGGGTACAGCCCCTCCTGCTGGGGAAAGGCTGGGCTTCCAGTCCCAGCCAGCTCACTGCCTGGCAAGTCAAGCTGGGTCATATCCACAAATCCCATGTGTGCCTCCAGTGGGCAGATCCGCGCATTTTCTAAGGTAGGGGTGTCGAACTCAATCAGAGAAGGGGCCAAAATCTAAAATCCAGCCTAAATCGCGGGCCGAATGGTTTACTGAACAGTCATAAACTGTCATTGTGATGGAAACGCAGCGGAGTGCAGTGATGACAGCGTGGTGCGGGCCACATTTCAAGGCCTGGCGGGACGGATTTGGCCCGCGGGCCTTGTGTTTGACACATGTGCTCTAAGGTGAGGTACGGTCTTATTCATTCTTAGGTCTGGAGCTTCCCTGTCTAAAATCCCGGAAGAAGGATTCCATCTTTCAATGCTCTAAGTGCATTTTGACTCACCCTAAAGTTTTGAAACGAGGACTTTAAACTTTACCTTATTTGATAAATGAGAGTGTTTAATTCAAAGGTTAAAAACTAGGTTAAGTCTTTTCACCTCTGACTCTGTTTTCCATTGCTTAACACTGAGCTTTCATTATTCCTTGGCAATAGACTGTAAGTTTTATTACTGTGCTCTTTATTGTGATACTCATTGGTTTGGTGTTATTCTAATTTTCTTTTAGCCTTCTCAATAAAAAAGTAACAAAAATAATTAGTATTTATTGATGATATTGGATATTATTGACAATAACCAGTATTATTACCAGTATGACAAGTAGTGTGATAAGCATTTTACATGAATTGTATCATTTAAGCCCCAAATAAGTATCATTAGAACCATTTTGAAGATGGGGACACAAAGGATTAGACTAGAGAGTTTAAGAAACTTGCCCAGTCAAATGGAACAGCTGGCTTTGCAGCTCCACAATGTCCCATCAAAATCATGCTCTTAGACTTTACAGGTTGAGGACACAGCTGGGCTCAGCCCTGATCCGGGGTGCCTGGGGTCAGAGGTGGAGAATGCCTCTGCTACCGTGGACATGGAGCCTAGAAAGACTTGTCTCTGAATATTCATGTCCATATTGAGCAAAATTTAAACTTTCTCACATAATATATCAACTATATACATCAAAATGATGAACAGCAACATTAATATATACCAAAATCAATTTAAAAAATACTTAAATGCTACAAAAACTTGGCTTAGTTGAGTGAAAAATTAGCTATTTATACTATTTCATATACCCAATCATTAGGAAGCATTCTGAATGTATATACAGGAAATGTGTCAGATTAGCTTTTGTGTGTCTTTTTTTTCTTTCTTTTTTTTTTTCCTGCTGCAAAAAGCTTTATTGTTTCATTTGGCCCTATGCATGGGAGAGGGCTTCAGGGTGGTTAAAGAATGGCTAGTGGTTTCGGAGAGAGGCTCAGGAACAAGCCAGACACCAGGGGTATACAGAGGTCCCCTCAAAGGCCTCTGGGCTCCAAAGGCTCCTAGTCCTGCTTGAGGGTGAGCCTTTCAAAGAGATACTCGCCCAATCCAGCCTGGGGGCCCGACAGTCTTCAGAGATGAATCAGGTGGTCGCCCTTCTTCTTGATGAGTTTCACCTGCTCACCCGGAAGTGGTTCTCCAGGAAGTCACAGGATGAGGATCTGTGTGGGCAGAACCCAGGGCCTGCAGCTCCACAAGGGCCTGGTGCAGGTTCCTCTCCAAGGCCAGGGCGGCTTCCATGGCATCTTGAGTTTTGCCCACTCATCCTGGGAAGGCTCCTGCAGGTCCTGGAAGAGAATGCGGCCACTGGCTTGTTATGCAGCTTTAAGAGACAGTCAGGGCCCTTTTCTCCACTAGCTTGTGGAAGAAGTGACCCACGCCTGCAAGAGCCACATCGCCAGAGTGAAAATAGAAGCCCAGAGAGAGGTAGGAGTAGGAGGGTGGCAGATGCAGGCTGACCAGGCAATTGACTGTAGCCTCCACCTTGGTGGAATAATTCTGATGGAATAGCTCATGGTTGTTCAGCAGTAAGGAGTTAAGATAGAAAAAAAAAACCCTGGAGTGTTGGCTGATCCTGGACATGGTTCTGAAGGTGGTGGTGACTGGATAAGACACAGGAGAGTGGCTGGAGGCTGGAAGAAGGGGCATCCCTGGGTCTGTTCCGTCCAAACACTGTTGAAGCAAGAGACAGATCTGAGACCGCCGAGGGCACTGTCTGTATGTTTTAATTGAAGATAATAATAATAATAAATACTCTTCATCTGTGGACTTTCATTAACTAAAACTATTAGTATTTCTGGACTGTGAACAGCTGTAATATCTTAGGCTCTAGAAGGAAACTTGCTTGTTGTTGCTTCTCAGTGACATGAAACTGTAGGAAAATGCATATTGCCAGAATTATGTTTTATACATAAAGAGTAATATGTATAATAATAGTTATACATATCAGTATATTCTCATGCAAGAAACATGAAAAAAATGTTCTAAATATTATTGGTACATTGTATCGATATATGAAGAGTTTTTCAAGGTATTGCTCAATGTCTAGTTAGAGCTAGAAAAATATGTTTTACTTGGTAAACTATAGATTCTTACTATAGTATACACTAGGGGTGTCGAACTCAATCAGAGAAGTGGCCAAAATCTAAAATCCAGCCTAAAACTGTCATTGTGATGGAAACGCAGCGGAGTGCAGTGATGACAGCGCGGTGCGGGCCACATTTCAAGGCCTGGCGGGACGGATTTGGCCCACGGGCCTTGTGTTTGACACATGTGGTATAGACTAATAGCAAGCGTTTGACTCATTGTGCTCAAAGAGTGTAATTTGAAATAACAAAAAAGCACTGGATATTCAGTTCAAGACCCTCTTACTAGGAATGGATAAGGCAATGATTGCATGATTATAACTGAACTTTTCACTCTAAATCTTGAAATCTCATGGAAAATAGGTCCTATAGGTGTTGATTTTAGGATTAGAGAATTCAGAATTCTAAGGGTTGGGGGGATCTTGGATTCAAGACAATAAATAGATCAACGTGGCTCAGCTACCATTCTGGAATCACTCTTCATTATGAGAGTGTCCACGATTATTTTTTAAGTTGAAAATATGAATTTTAAAATGACATCTGAGAATCAATTATGTATGTTTGGAATAGGCAAAAACTATGGGTGGTGGGCTGTATCTGGCCCACTACTTGTTTTTATAAATAAAGTTTTATTGGAACACAGCCATGCCCACTCATTGGCTTATAGTCTATGGCTGCTTTTATGCAAAAACAGCAGAATTAAGTAGTTCCACTCAAGTCTCTAGGGCCTACAAAGTCAAAAAGATTTACTACCTGGTCCTTTTCAGAAAAAAGTTTGCCAACTTTTGATGAATAGGAGAGAAAGAGAGAGAGGGGAGGGAGGGATGGAGAGAGATTTATTTGTGCAGGGTTATATTAAGGAATACCTACCAGAAATTTATGACATTCTTCTAAAGAAGAATACTTGGCAGATTTATAAATTGATTTGGAGAAATTTTGGTGTTGGATGATTATTATTTCTATTTTAAAAGACAAATTTAGAAAACCAAGTTTAGAAATATTCTCATTTTGATCAAGGGTAAGGTCATATAAGTCATATTAGTCTTTAATTTCTCTTTGTCCTATGATATAAAGCTTACTTTGTCACACGTTGAGCTTGTGTGTGTTTATGTTTTCAGGCTTCTTCATGTCACTAGACAAGAAATTACACCAAAAATTTGTTATTACTTAGCTGGTTTGCACTTTAATCATGCACATGGGAATCTCTTTCCACCTTTATGAATTCTTGCTCTTAGTCTCAGGAACTGAATGAAGCCTGAAGAAGGAATTACCTACTCTTTTTATGTCTTTTTTTTTTTTTTTTTTTTTTTTTTAAGGGAAAAGTTGTCTATCAGAGGGACTAAGAACGTTGTATGCATTCAGGACATTTAACATAGGCTTTAATGCTTTAAATCTGTGTAAGAATCTGTATATGTTTAAATTGTTAGTCAAGAATGTCAGTTCAGGAACATTTGAGATCTTGCTCCCTGCCATATGTTGTCAGTTTGGCTCAAATAAACTCATAAACATTCTCAAAAAAAAAAAAAAAAAAATCTCAGTTCAGTAAAGTATCTGCTTGCAGAGACAAGTCTATTATTGGCAATTGGTATGGCCTTTGCTTTGTAAAACCTTTTCTTTTGGCAAAATCACAAATCTGTTATGAAACAACCAACATTTGTATTCCCTGAGTCACCATATAGCTCAAAGAGACTTGTTAGCCTACTTCAAAATCTTACAGGCATCATTATCAAGAAATTCCAAAAGTCTCTGAGAATTTCTTGCTTACTTTTAATTCCTTCTAGCATTCCCTGAGAGGTACACTTGTGTTTTCTAAGCTTTCTTTTCAGCCTTTCCTTGATTTTGTAAGAGCCTCTCAGTCCTTTCAGTGAAAATCTCTTTTGCTTAAATCAGCCAGAATTAGCTTTGATTCTTATTAGTACCAGGAATTAGGTGTATAGATATTCTGTGACAAAAATTACAGATACCTGTTACACTCTTTTCGCTCCTGAAAGCACAGACTCTGAGATATTTATAAAAAAATGTTGCCTGTTACAAAGTGTTAAAAAAGGGGGGGGGGGGGCTAATTCTGGCTTGGTATAGCATAATCATCTTATGATCCCTCACATTTGTCTGAGCTTTAATACGTAAAAACCATTGGACTTGTAACCAATTGTTATATAGAGGGCTGTGTGTTATTTGTATAACTCTCATGGTCTCTCCACTGTTCTAGGAAAAGGGTATTAATGCTTGCTGATTGATCCCCTATGGAAGATGAAATTGCTTTTAATTTCCAAGGAATGAAATCTCATTTGTCCCTTTCCTCCTCTAAAAATAGGAAAAGTGAGGTTTGGGGAATTGGTCTTCTCTGTGCTTTGGAGTTTTCTATTTAATTGATGTGGTGGATTGCAGTTTTACATCTCTTCATGGAGAAGGACACTTACATAGTTCTATCATGAGTCAGTTAACATTTTTGGGGTCTTTTTTCAGTTTAGCCTGTCACTTCAATGTTCTGTTCAAATTGGTAAGTATTTAGGTACAAACATTAAAATCCCACTTTAGAGTCAGCTAATTACACAATCGCAGGTAAGATGACACATGAGCATATTAATATTTTTAGCTTTCACAGATGCTATTAGGAAGATATGTAATTACAGCCTCATGGAGTTTCAGCAACTGTTAGTTGATGGCCCAGATGCCTTCAGAAAAAATGGAAGGAGGTCAAACTGTGAGGCTTTGGTCTGTAAAATCAGTCACTTCCTAGGTGAGATGAATATATAAGAATGTTCCATTAATTCTATAATAATTTTCCTTTCTTCTTTCTTAGTTCTGTGATCAGTATTTGAGTTACAAATTATGATCACCAGCTTATATTTAAACAACATCTTATCTTTTATAAACAGATTTTTTTCCAATCAATTCTATTGATTCTTATCATTTTGGTGGTCTAAGCCTGTGAGCTAAGAGGAGTCAGTGATTATTTTGATTCCCAGTACAGAGCTGAAGTGCTTTCCTAAAGTTCTCTCATACTATTTTGATTTATTGTTATGTCCCTAATGTTCAGGTCAAGATGGGTACATAGTTGACATATAAAAAAATTTGCCAAGTGGCAAAAGAAATGCAGCTCAGTGAGAAGAGGAAATAGCTTGGCCAGGGACACACAGTTACTCAGTGATGAAGGCAGAGTTCAGATTTAGGATTTTTGGTTGCAAATCCCACACAGCTCTGTAGTGCGGATGCCCCAATGGGGGCAGCTGAAATAAAGAAATAAAGAAATAAAGAAATACATCTTTAAATGCAGATCTCTTAACTTGGATGAGAGATTACTTTAGAGCTAAAGTTAAGTTCCATAATTCTGAAGTGTTTAAATGGAGTTTTTAAAAATATATGAAATTGGAGGGGAAGTCTTGAGGGCCAAGTCAGTTTGGAATTCACACTACATCATCACATTTCAGAGGGTTTAGATATGAAAGCTCCTTTGCATGTCAAAGACAAGGAAAGTGAAGTTTACCCAAGGCGCATAGTCCATGAGGATGGTCTATGTTGCTTGGCACCAGGCTGATACACACTAGGTGATCAGTTAATATTTGTTGACTGGGTGAGGCCCAGACTACTAAAGCAGTTGCTCCAAGTTATACCTTAGTGAAGGTCTTCAATCAACATACTGATATTGGTGGGGTGTCCTTTGTGCTCCCATCTGTTACTTGTGTAAGTGGGCTTCTGGGGATGCCAATGGAACAAGAATTTCCCGAGGCCTCCATGGGAGGATGAGGTATAATGGAAAGCTTTATTAAAGAGGTATCAGTAAGGGAGTTCCCCTCCAAAGTCCCATCTCCCTCTCTCCCACCATTTTTGTCTTCAGCAGGAGTAAGATCGAAGCCACTCCCCAGAGTTTCTGCTCCATATTTGCATAGTCCAGTCCAGCATCTGGCTAGATTAGCTTGTATTCCCAGCTGCAGTCCATTGTGTGTGATGTGTCATGGAGGTTTTAGGATGACAGGTTAGTTTAGGCCCGTGGTTGGCAAACTGTGGCTTGCAAGCCACATGCAATTCTTTGGCCCCTTGAGTGTGGCTCTTCCACAAAATACAATGGCCTGGGCAAATCTATTTTGAAGAAGTGGCATTAGAAGAAGTTTAAGTTTAAAAAATTTGGCTCTCAAAAGAAATTTCAACCATTGTACTGTTGATACCATGTTTCCCCGAAAATAAGACAGTGTCTTATATTAATTTTTGCTCCCAAAGATGCGCTAGATCGTATTCTCAGAGGATGTCTTATTTTTCCACGCGCTAGGTCTTATTTTCGGAGGATATCTTATTTTCTGGGAAACATGGTATTTGGCTCTGTTGACTAAGGAGTTTGCTGACCACTGGTATAGGCCAAAGAGGAAGCTCGTACAAGGAAGCAGGAGCAAAGCTAGAGGAACGAGAGAAAGAACTTCTTTGTCTGCCAATTATAATTGGGAATTTAACCAATGAACCAGGATTTTGTGCCCTTGCATTGGCTTCACTCTTCTATCCAATGATCCTTGTTTCCCAGGCTAGACTGACAGGCAAGCACCTTCCCTACCGTCACCCTCATGTCACTGTGCATGCATTCATCTCCCATTGTTGGACTCCTTCCCCCAGTGATTTGCATGGAATGGACCGGTGGTTTCTGGGAGTGTGAAGTTGCAGCTTCCTGGTGAAGCTGCCCAGATGCTTATAATGTCTGGCCTTCCCTTTGATTTTTTCTATTATTAATAATACTCATAACTGGCTAGTTACAATGGTAACAACACCGTCTCCATGTCATCAATACAATCAAGTTGTTGAACTCAGGCTGGAGGGACCTTAGTGGTAATCTAAGCCCTTTCAAATAACTCTTACTTGGCCATTTGACTTGGTACCAGAGCAAGAATGGAACTGGCAGTCTTGGTTCCTCCCTACTTTCTACTTCCTCATGTCAACTCTGAAAGTATTTATGAGGACTCAACAGAGTCACTTCCTCTGGAGACCAAGTGGTCCTGGGATAAGTAATGTATGTACAGCTGAGGGTCATAGCTCAGCCCTATGCTCTTTTCCTCTCAGTCCCACAGGTATTGTCATAGACTGTTCTACTCCAATACAGCATATCTCTGCATTTCTCATTAGTTCTTCCCAGATTTAGCAGTCCTTGGTCTCCATCTCTTATGCAAGATTGAAACTGGCCAGCCTGCTCTTGATGAATTAAAAATGTATACTTTCTTATATCACAGCTCTAAATTTTCTACTTAACTGGGATGTTAAGGGTTATACTTCAATTCCTTGAGCATGAACACCCTTCCCCACCCCAAAAGCATCTCAGGTCCTCTGCAAGGACAGACAGCAGGAAGTGAAACACACTCTGATTGTTCATGTGCCAACTTGTGTCTTTGAGTCAATTGCCATTGGAAAGAGAAAATTGGGCATACATTTCTTACTTAAACTATGAGTGTCTCTTATGTGACAGACACCAATACTAGAACAATAGGTAGACCACAGGAACCCTTCCCTCAGGGAACTCACAGAGATTCCAGCCTGCAAGTGCCAAGAATGGAAATGTGGACAATTACACAATGTGATAATTTCTGAGACAGAAGAATGTGGAAGGTGCAGTAAGAGCACCAGGTGGAACTGATTGACTCTGCCTCAGGGAGGGGAATAATGAAGACTTCTTTGAACAGGTGACAGCTAAGCTGGGATTTGAAGGAGTTGATTCATAGTACAGTGGCTGGGGGGAGTAGGGGTACACTTAAGGCAGAGAAAATAACAAGTAGAAAGACTTGAAGATGTGAAATGTTATGGTGTCTTCGGGAAAGTTCACATAATCTTTCAGCTTATTGGTTTTTCAAATGTTTCTGCTTTTCCATCCTTATTTATAAACACATTTTGAGCATAGATGCTCCCCATCATAAGCACATTAATTTAACAGTTGTACACATGCACTGCTATTCTGATGCATTATGTACACTATAAACACACACAAATAGAAATTTTAAAATCACTTTTGCCTGGCCAGCGTGGCTTAGTGGTTGAGTGTTGACCTCTGAGGAGGTTATAGATCAGGGCACATGTATAGGTTTTGGGCTTGATCCCACAGAGTGGGCATGCATGAGGCAGCCGATCAATGATTCTCTGTCATCATTGATGTTTCTATCTCCTCCCTTCCTCTCTGAAATCAATAAAAATATATTTTAAAAAATTAAATCACTTTAAAGGTGAGTTAAAATTAATGTAGACATTTTGATCTTTTCTGGTTGTATCCAGAAGGATGGTCTTCGGCCCCTCCTCTGTAAGTCACTCTCTAGACCCTAAGCCCCCATGAGGGAGGCCAGGGGGCTCCGATTCACTGCGGTGTGCCCTCTGGTTAGTATAGTGTCTGGCATTACTAGATACCTGATAAATGTTTGTTGGCTTGAGCTGGTTTCCAGTGTTGTCAGAGAGTTAGCCTAAAGTGAGCTGGTAACAAGTGTGTCTCAGTTTTACTGAGGGAAGACTTTTGTAGATTTTCCCAGGGGTTAAGCAGAACACCAGAGCTTTGAGCGTAAGCTCTGACTTACACTTTTTGTCTTGGGACGAGGCAAGTCCTTCACATAATTTCTCTGTGTCTCCTCAGGGCATTCATGCTGTTCAGCAGGGCAATAATATTCCTGCACGTCACATGGTGTTTGCAGTGAGTGACTAATAAAAGTGATATTGTGAAGCACTTGGCACTGGTGAAAGGCCTATCAAAATGGTAAATAGCCCTTGTATAAGCAGCTGGAGAGAATGAGGCCATTCTTCCTCCCACCATGGCTCTTACTGGGAGTGATAACAATATCAAAAGCATATTTTTCTGACCAACTTTTGAATCCAGGGGTCTATGATGTTGTGGCAACAGAACTGTCCTTTCCACATGGCAGCAAACAGTACCTTGCAATTAACAGATGGGTTTGAACACGATTTAAGGCAGTGTATGTGAACTTGTTTTAAAGTGCAATTAACCTTTGATTATAGAATACTTAAGCTTATACACTTTCAGGTATATATAGAGAACAGATTCTTCAACAAATTTCAGAGAAACTAGGAGATATATACATATATATATATGTGTGTGTGTGTGTGTGTGTGTGTGTGTATCCCTTTTTATCTTTTTCTCTCAGAATAACTTTGTATACATAGGCCTGCTGATAATGTTTTTATCTTTAGTTACTCAGCCTACAAATATTTGTAGAGAGCCTGTGGGGCCAACTTTTGTTTGTATTAAACGAGATAGCAAGAAATAAACAGCATGCCTTGGCCCGTGTGGCTCAGTTGGTTAGGTGCTGCCCAGTGCACCTAGGGGTTGCTGGTTCCATTCCAAGTCAGAGTACATGTCCAGGTTGCAATTCAATCCCCAATAAGGGGGGCATGCAGGAAGCAGCCGATCTATATTACTCTCTCCATCTCCCTTCCTCTCTATAAGCAATAAAAACAAAACAAAACAAAAACACACACACACACACAACAACAACAACAACATTAAACAAAGGAGAGAGAAAGAAACAGCATGATTTGTGCCCTCAGGAAGATTACTTTCAGGTGGAGAAATAGAATGCGAGTCCATGGATAAATGCAGGGCAATTGAACAAACCACTGCAAAGACCCTTGAAGAATTGAAGCAGTGGTTGTAGAAAAGAGAAATCCTTGTGACCTAGAAAAGAAGGAGATGGCTTCCTAGTGAGGTGGGACAGGAGAAAAGATGGAAGTCGAAGGGAGGAAGGATGGATTCCTGGGCAGGAATGCCAGGAACAAAGACACAGAGGTGGGGTAGACAGAGGGGCTGTGCCTGCTTGATGAGAGCTGGGGCTTAGGGTTGGGAACAGGGGTCAATGCCCTTTGATAAGGGAAGAGGCAGAGTGAGGAAGCTTTTATTACTGCACAGAGGACCCAGAGCCTGTGGCACATCAAAATGAAAAGAGAGCCTCTGGATGTCCTTACAGAGGACTGTGAGCTTTGCGTCAAGTATATATTGGAAGAGTGGAGATCCAGAGACTAAAGGAGGAGATTCTAGACTTGAGTGGTTGAGATTTGAAGGCAAATAAAGGGAAATTTCCAAAGGGTCAACCACAGAACTTGCTGACAAATTAAACATAGGTGATGAAAGAAATTGAGTACAAAAAAAGAGCTTCTGTCAGCACTATACGGAGTACTGGGAACACAAAAGAACTGAACCCTAATTTCTCTCTTTAAGGAGTTAGTTCAAGGTGGCTGAGAATGTTATCTGGGTGGCTGGAATATTCAAAGAATCATTCCTAGAAATCAGATGTTTGGGAAGAGGAACTAGTTAAGTGGGGAATGATAAGAGAATGTGTGGGGAGTGGCAGTTGGATAGATTTGTTGTTTTGGTTTAACATATGTTTTTATTGATTTCAGAGAGAAAGGGAGAGGTAGAAAGAGATAGAAACACCAATGAGGAGAGAGAATCATTGATTGGCTGCCTCTTACTGGATCCGAGCCCACAACCCTGGCATGTACCCTTGACCGAAATAAACCCAGGACCCTTCACTCTGCTGGCCTATGCTCTATCCACTGAGCCAAACCAGCTAGGGCTAGATTTGCTTTTAACATATTATGGATATTTTGTTGTTGTTGTTGTTGTTGTTGTTGTTGTGTGTGTGTCTCCTGTACAGATAGAAGACAACATTTTTATTTTGAAAAAAACAATACCCATTTCAGTTGCTGGTCTTTGAACTACAGAAACTGGTTCACCAGAACAGCTATTTAGGCTATGCCTGGTATATATTTGGGGATCAATGGATGTATATTGGTTGAGAAATCTTTTATCAGCTTCTTAGCTGGAAGCAGCCACCACTCTAGCTGCAGATGTCACTGAGAACACTTTTGAGGGCTCTCGAAATATTTTTAAACACTGAGAAACCTTGTTTTTCCCCCTCATGTTCCAGACCTGTACGCCCAAGCCTCTGGCAGCTTCAGCATCTGTCCTAAGCTGAAAATAGATGATTGTAACTCTACACGGTGTTTGTACTGCATGCTTAGCACAACATTCTCTTTGATATATTCATCCTCATTTGGGAGCCCAAAGGAAATGAAATTTGCTGTTTCGTGCTCCCTGGCACTGTGGTTTGCGGTAGATCTTTTCAGTACAAAATGTGCCTCTGAAACAGCCTATTCGGTTTTGATCTCTGAGTAAGGATTTACCCTGAAGGCTCTTCTGGGTGTCCATAAAAACAGAGAAGTTAGAGTTGAAAGAGATTTTAGAGATAAATCTGGCCAGCTTCCTCATTTTCCAGATTAGAAATTCTGTTGCCTAGTCAGGTAGAAATTGCAGGAACTAGAGTTCAGAGACAACACAGTCCCTGGCTTCTGTTGGCCACCCAGCCTGGGATGAGGTGAAGTCCACTTTCTCAGCCCAGTTTATGCTTTGGGCATCCTTTCCCACCAGTGGGTCCAATGCTTTCCTCTTCTTCCCTTCCTCTTAATCAAATGAGAACAGATGTAATAGCTTCACTTATACTTGCTGCTTAACTGATTACATTTAATACACAGGAGCTTATCACCTATTTCTCAGCTAAGACCTGTCTTAAAAAGAGCTGGCATGGCCCTGACCAGTTTGACTCAGTGGATAGAGCGTCGTCGGCCTTTGGACTGAAAGGTCCCGGGTTCAATTCCGGTCAAGGGCATGTACCTTGGTTGCGGGCACATCCCCGGTGGGTGGTGTGCAGGAGGCAGCTGATTGATGACTCTCTCTCATCGATGTTTCTAACTCTCTATCCCTCCCCCTTTCTCTCTGTAAAAAATTAATAAAATATATATTTTTAAAAAAGAGCTGGCATGGCTCAGTAGTTAAACATGGATCTGGATCTATGAACCAGGAGGTCACGGTTTGATTCCTGGTCAGGGAACATGCCCAGGTTGCAGGCTTGATCCCCAGGGTGGAGTGTGCAGGAGATAGCTGATCAATGATTCTTTTTCTTCATTGATATTTCTCTCTCTCTCTCTCTCTCTCTCTCTCTCTCTCTCTCTCTCAAATCAATAAAAAAATATATTTTTAAAAAGACTTGTATGACTTCTTATTGGATGGCAGGCTGTGCTCCTGCTCTGGGAGGGTGAGCACCAGTGAGCAGATGGGGATACATTTAAAGAAGAAAAGGCTCTAAAAATCACACGAAAAGTCTGGCCAGGAGTTAGTTCACTTGTCAGCTTTGTAGGGTTTTTGCAAGGCGTGGGCCACAGACTCACAGGTTCCTGGGGCCCTGGGGAGGGGCGCTCCAGTGCCTGGAAATTTACTCTCTGAGAGTAAGTCTCACCTTGACCACACCCTGACCCACAAAGGTCTGCTTGATGAGCACACACCTGATGGGCTGCTCTCCTCCCACCACCCTTTTCTTCTTTTTGCTCAGAACACACTGTGGGTTCTGTTTCACTGCTGCCCAGTGGTTTGCAAAGTGTGCTCCCTAGGGAGCCTCGGCAGCATCCCTGAGCATTTGTTAGGCATGCGCACACTAGGCCCAGCCACGTGTGGTCTCACCCGCCCTCCGGGCGATCTTCCTCAGGCCATCTTTGAGCATCACTGCTCTCCCCTTCTCTAACTTGAATCTCTGCCTCCGGCTGCAGATCACCCGGCATGTATTTTTATATTCCATTCGTTTTAGTTATCATTTCATGATCTTCTGTACCTCATCTTCCTCTCTGTATTTTTTCTTTGTCTACAAATCAACTCTGAGACATTTTTCTCAGGGAAGACCTTTTTAGTTTCCAACACTGGGTTGCGGTGAGTGCCACCTGGGTGTTACCGGCAGTGACTTGCTAGGCTGTCGTAGAGTCCAGGCCAGCTCTCTCGCCAGCGGGCCACTCCTCAATAAACTGCTAGATTAGCAGCAGCCTCTGTTTCCAGGCTGCCCCAAGGTGGAGTTCAGCATACGGTCCAGCCAGAGTGAGGAGGCCAAGCTTGATGTTCTGGCAAGGGGAAGTGGGCAAGTCCCCTAACTTCTCCAAGTTACAGAGATGTCAGGGAGGGTTTGAACTACCGATCCTGAAGTTAAAACAGTTCAGTGATTGTCATTTGTTTGGTTCTAGCAGCTCTTGCAGGAAGCAAGGACTCAGGAGTGTTTCCAGGCAGCGACTGAGCGCTCTCTCACCTTCCATTCTCTCTGCTTTTACCTGCACTCCCTCGTGCTAATCCTCTAATGAAAGGGAGCAGCCGAGTCTGTCTGGAAGTTGCTAGCCCACCCTGTTGTTCCTGGTTCAAGTCCATAGACATTAAGCAAATTTAGTGCAAAACCCTGTATCGGTGCTAAAAAACAGTGCTCAACAACCAAGGACTTCATTGCTCTAAAAAGTAATTGAAACAGCTGTTTTGTGTATTCTTGATGGTACATCTGGCAAAACCTGACAAGGAGATATATTACGTAATAATGAGAGCAGTAAGAGTTGACACTGAGAGCTTATCATCTGCTAAGTACTTTATATAATTTCTCATTCATTGCGCCTACTATACGACATACCATTCCCGTTTTGTAGATGACAATATTGAGGCACTGAGAAATTGAATGCTTTGTCCAAAGTTACACAGTGAATAATGGATGAAACTTGAATCTGAACTCGGATTCCACAGCTCTTGTAGGACTGACTGATGAATAGTGAATGAGGACAGCAGGAAGTAAATGTGCTAACTAGTGCCCCTGAGTTCCTATTCCTCCCTGAGAGCCATACTCTCTCACCCCCCACTTGTGGCCACCTGAGCAGGAACATACAGGGAGGGACAGAATACATGTCCCATTTTGAGAACCGCTGTTCTAAGGGAAGAGCAAGTGCCCGTGTATTGGGAGGAAGGAATCAGGAAATAGCATCCTGGATGACAGAGGGCCAGGGTACGGTATGGGGGCCACGATTGGAAACAGCAGCCAAGCTGTAAGAACCCTGCCCAGGCCTTTGCCGGGACAGCAAGGACCTTTATGTACCCGTGTTGAGTCACTGTGTCCTCGGCGAGTTCCAGGAACCATGCCGGGCTTGTTCCTGTACCTGTAAAGCGGCAATTAGAGGCCTGCTACTCCTGGGTGTGGCGTGGAAACAAATAATGACTTGTTTGGGGGGGGGGGGGGGAAGGATTCTGGAGCTTCTTGGAAAGGAGCAGTGTAAGCAGGGAGAGCATCGTTCTTTTGAGTCTGAAGGACAAGATAAGAGCTGAAGA